AACCGAACAAATAACATTGTACTGAAAGCAATTTTCAATAGGATACAAAGTGGAGAAGTCAACAAAAGTATCACGCAGGCTCTTTTGAATATGAGTCCACTCTAAGGAAAAAAATTACACAGAGACTTAATTTTAATCCCTATCAGTAGAATAAGTTCATCTTATTGATCAAGAAAAAGAAAAATTAATCACGGAATAACATAATCATCTGGAACGTGAAATGTATCTGGATCCTCCTCATTGATCCATCCATATTTCTCTAAGAAAGGATTGGCTATGGTTTTTGGCGGATAGCTATTAATGAATTCTGTCCAAACATTTCCGTCTTGATCCAAATCCCTCATAACTTCCCACAAACAACTGTTACACTTAAACCCTGCTCCAAAACTTATCATAAAAACTTTGTTACCTTTCTTAAGCCTATTTTTAGCTTGCATATATGCTAAAACGTACCATATGCTGCTTGCAGATGTATTTCCGAATCGATGAAGTGTCATTCTTGCTGGCTCTATATCATGCTCGCTGAGGTTTAGATTCTGCGCCACTGCATCGATCACTGCCTTTCCTCCTGTGTGGAGGCAAAAATGATCGATCCCGGTTTTGAAATCGATTGCTGGCCTAGCTCCTGCACCTATCTTAAAGTATTTTTGCTTCGTTTTTCGAATGAGGGTAAGTAATGTGAACTGAAGGAGCTCGCGAACCGGGAGTATTTTTGGGGCGATTTCCTTCAAGTTATCGACGAATGCACGAGTGGCTGCCTTTGGGAGATTTTTGCCTAGGTGAAACCCTACATAGCCTTGATCATCTTCCTTTTGTATGCAACAATTATAGGATTCATCTTTTGCACCATGGTGTGTTCTCACAAGGCATTTCAACTTGAACATGGCCTTTTCTTTTAAGGCCACTTTATTTGTTAGAAGAATTGCACACCCTCCTGATCTAAACAGACAGTTTGAAAGAATCATAGATCTGTCTTTCCCTGTGTACCAACCTAGGCTCAAAGATTCAGATGTCACAACAAGTGCTTGCACATTTCTTTGAGTCTTGAAAATATTTTGAACAATATTGATTGCAATGGGGCTGGCACTGCATCCCATTCCACTGAGATTATACACCTTAATATCCTCTTTCATCTTATAATGATGAATAATTTGAGACGATAACGAAGGAACTGCAGCGAGCATCGATATATTCACCACTAGAACGTCGATCTCAGAAGGCAAAATCCCCGTCTTCTTGAAAAGCTTGTCAATAGTATCAAGAAAGAAATCATTCATTTCAATGATAGCATCCTCAAGACTTGGAGACGTTTCTCGCCCTTCGAGTACCATTCTCGGGCCATAAGTATCCTCTCCAATGCCTGAACTGACTATGGACTTCAAGAGAAACTTGTACTCGTTTAGGCCGAGTTGCTTGTTTCTCCTAATTACTTCACCACAAAATCTTGTGTTGAGTTTCCTATCATCACTTGGCTTGTAGCATTCATAATCCAATATGTAACAATTTTGATGTCTTCTTCTGTCAAAAATTTGCCACAAAGTGTAGAGTAGACAAAGGAGAGGGAAACAATACAAGAACCTTGGAAAAAGATCCATGTGAATCACAGAGAAAAATAAGGAGAGAGTATGTAATGTATGCAGTAAACTCTTCTTACATGATATGAGATATTTAAATCAAACACTAAGCTCTATTTAGAGAGCCCAAGTCACATCTCAATAGGCTTTAGAAAACATGTATTTCTCAACGCCCAACAACTGATCGGTGCTTGACTTTACAATCAATAATGCTCATCCCCTGTTTGATAGATAAAGAGAAATTGGAGAAAAATGATGTTTTGAATAGTGAACTTTTTGGGAAAATGTGTAGTTAAAAAGTAAGAAAAAGTTTTAA